AACTATGCCTGTATTAAATTTCACCATGGGGATAATCACATCTGAACTGCCAAATTACTGGGAACCCTGACCCTCAAAACCCTATCATAGTCCACACCTGGTCAACTTGCTACCTAGAAACCAAATACATAATGTCTACCTAAAAATGAATTGGCCTCATTTACATCTTGTATTTCACAAATGAACAAAAATATTTGATGCACACATACAAAACAAAAAATATATATTAATTAAAATGTCCAAAGGGCACATTCTAAAAGCCAGCCTCCTGCCTGCAGGCACACAGCCTTACTCAGTCCATGGGCCTATAGTCAACATCTAGTGTGTCTCTCCATGCCACTGTCTCTGCCACTATCTCTGCTGTCATCACTTTTCTAGGTAGGGATCTTATGTTCCACTCATCCTTTTTCTTCTTGAGGGTCCTGGGATCATCTTAATCTTCTTCTGAGATGGCTCCTTTTAAATATAGCTGGGTGGCAAAACTAACCACTCCCAGCCTTGGAGTTTACAGTTTTAACAATCACAATTAATCCTGGTAACAATTTCTCACAACTGAATCATAAAATCCTATCAGCATCATCCCCTACCCCTTTTCACCAAACCCATCTGGAAAAGAGGAAAACCATTCAGTGGAGATTCTCCCTTGTCCCCTCATTCTAAGATTAAGCACACCCATGAAAGTGTGTAAGCCAGCCAATTTGTGCCCTTACAGTCCCCCATTTTTGATAGCCAGTTTTTAAATTGCTGGTCTCTATCAACCCAGTAGTCTGAGGAGACAAGCAAGTTCCTTGATCTGAAGAATCTCCCATTCTGGTTGGAATTTTGAGCAACTGCATCTATAAGCAAAACTCCAGTCCATCAAATTGTAGCACTTTCATCTGCTCACAGTATCAAACATCTCTGTTTTCATCTAGTTGGGTTCTGATCATCTCAGCCCTAGCCATCCACTAAGTCAAACGGGCACCAGCTGCAAGTTTGGGAGTTCACACACACCTCCCTGCACTTCAGACCAGCTGGCCCCTTCACTGAGAGACCTAGTCCCCAGGGGATAGGTCATTTCCCATGGGCTCAGGAATTCACACAACCCCCTAAACTTCAGACCAGCCAGCCCTTCCTCGTCTTTCTTTCACCTTAAGGTCAACAGGTGCCAATGGAACATGGCCAAAGTCAGCCCATGTCTCATTGCTGCACTTACCCCACTTCTACTCACAAGTAAACCCAGGTGGTCATCAGTGAGTATACTAGCTGCTACTCACCAACTCCTTTTAACTTTCCGTTCTGTTGTTGTTGTTGTTAAGTGCCATCGAGTCAGCTCTGATGCATAGCAACCCTGTACAGGGTTTCCGAGGAATGGCTGGTGAGCTTGAATTGCCAACCTTGAGGATCAAGCTGACTTTGCAGTCTGGGCATTAACCCACATCACTACACCAGGATTCCACTTTCAGTTCTTAAAGTCTCCAAAACAAACAGATTGCTTGAAACTCAAAAAGCCAAACAGTCCTTTTTTTCTCTGTAAGTCTTTTCTATTCATTTCTATCACACATGTATGTCTATTTTACAGGAGTGGGCAGGGGAAAACAATCTCCATAAGGCAATCAAACATAAACCTTTTTAAAACACTCAAGTTCAATCTTTTCTTCACCCTTGGAATATGCATATGGCCTTGGCAGGCTGATGCAGTAGGTCTTGTTTAACCAGCATGGCATCACTTCATGCAACTCCAAAAGCTGCTTCTCTCCCCTCAGGTGAGGCATTTTATCTCTTACATCCCTTTCAGCCATTCCAGGCAACAAAATCCTGTATAACCATGTGAAATGGAAAAGCTTCACTTCCTGTGCCCCTTCATTGTTTCTCTTATAAAATCTCATGCTTCCATGGGTCTGGTGCCATTGCAGTGATTCCCACTCCTGATGCCAACTGTAAAAACCATGTGGGGACCATGTCTGACTTCCTCTGACTTCACAACAGGGAAAGAGGATCAAACTCAAAATCAGCCTAGGGCCAATTCCTATGAAGTAGAGGTCAGACTTGTCTCTACCCTACAACCTTCTTTATTAGTGGAGGCAGAGATATCAGTGCCTTTAACATTAATGAGACTTGAGAACCAATTCAGAAAATTCATCCTTGTGATTTTGTTTCTCTAGACCCTACTTCTGGTACCACATGTCTTAGGCAGGTCTTCTAGAGAAATGACTCACAATTGTAGAGTCCCCGATCCCAAGCAGAAGAGAAAGCAAGCTTTTCCTACGTATCCATTACATTGGGACAGGCCACGCCCCCAAGAAAACATCCTTTCAATTGATTGGCTGTCCATAGCCAATCATCATATAGTTAACTATGCCTGCATTAAATGTCACCATGGGTTGACCACATCTCAAATGCCAAACCACTGAGAATCCTGGTCCAGCCAAGTTGACACAAACCACTATCACACCATCCTTTCCCAACTTTGTCCTTAGGTAAATGTTGAATTTCTGATTTTGAATGATTCACTATTACATCATTCATAGTCACCATACCTTACTATTGTTGTTGTCCCCCTTATATAGTATCTATAGCTTGACTGAAAGCTGGGCCACGAGGGTGACTTTCCAGACCTGAACGCTGATTGAGGGCCATAGTCTCAGATTTCTCTAGTGTCTTCATGACTAGTAAACTCTGTCTTTTTTGTTTTAAATAATTTTGAATTTTGTTCTACATATTCTGTCGCTCAATCCAGGACCTTCCATTGTGATCCCTTTCAAAGCACCTGTTCATGGTTGTCAGGCACCATCTGGTTCTTTTGGCCTCAGAATCATGAAGACTGATGTTCACATGTTCCATTAGTCCATTTGACTAATGAATTCCAAGCATCTTCAGTTCCCATCACTCTTCTTTAATCTGCACAGGGAGAGACCAATAACTGTACCTTAGATGGTCGCTCACGAGCTTTTAAGATCCCAGATGCTACTCACCCAAGTCTGATGTAGAACATTGTCTTTGTGGACTGTGTTATACCAAATGACCACGGTGTCTCCTGAGACTATGGTCATGGCCACCGTACTCAGCAACTCATTGGTTTAAAATGTTTGATAATATCTAAGAAGTTTTCATCATTTTGCCCACTGTATGTCCTTTTTAAGGTCCACTCTGGTGTTTTCTTTCTTTCCTTGACTTTTAATGACCTTTTGCTTTCTTCAATGTTCTTAATGTCATCCCACAGCTTTTCTGGTCTTTGGTAATTAGTGTCTAATTATCAAATCTGTTTTTGAGGTGGTCTCTAAATTCAGGTAGGATATACTCAAGATCATATTTTGGTTCTTGTGGATTTGTTTCAATTTTCTTCAGCTTTAGCCTGAACTTGCATATGAGCAAATTGATGCTCTGTTCCACAATTGGTCCCTGTTCTTGTTTTGTCTGATGATACTGAGCACATCTCCACCATCTCTTCCCACAGATGTTGTCAATTTGATTCTTGTGTATTCCATCTGGTGAGGTTCATGTGTATAGTGGCCTTTTATGTTGTTTTAAAAAGGTATTTGCAATGAAGAAGCCATTGGTCATGATCAGTAATCTGCATCTGATCAGCCAGGAAGCCAGGAAAGAGAAAATAACGAACTGCTGCTATCAGCAGACTTGGTCTGATAAGGGCTCTGGAGGGCAAAATGAGGCTGCCAAAAACCAAAGTGGTCAGAGGCAGAGGCTGCCAGGAAAAGTAACGGCCAAGGGATTCACTTATGGACTCCCTTCTTTTCCTCAGTGTTCTAGAAACACAGATCTCCAATTCTCCAAGTCCAGCAGCCAGAGACTGGCTGGGTGCTCTCTAATTTTTCATGAGAAAGTTTCTCTACAACCCCTCCCGTCCAGAACCTTTTTGCTGTCCCATTTCCCCCACCCACATTACCTTTTCAGACATCCCAGCAAATAACAAATCTTCAGTCCTTTGCCTAAGAGTCTGGCTATTGGGCAGGGTATCCCAAAAAGACTTTGACAGAGCCTGAGACACCCATTCATTCATTTCACTGCTTCATTCTTTCACTCATGGGAAGCTCACCCTCAGCCTACTTTCGTTGTCTAAAGAAAGCAGAGTCCTGGCAAGTATCTACAAGGGCCAACAAATTCTCAAATACCTCAGCTGTGGACTTTGGTTCTAGTGGTCAGGCCTGCTGCTTGCCAAAGAAAGGGGAGTCACAGGGCCACCATTTCTGTCTGTATCTAGAGGATACAATGTAATTCAGATCTTTTCCTTTGAGGGAGAGGAAATACTCAGTTCAAGGATTTGGGGCTCAGATTTTATCCCAGTCATACGTATAGTATTGTTCCCTTGAGGTGTTCACACCATCCCTAAGAGGGACAGGAATTATTTTGCAGTTATTTGTTTAAAAATAAAAGAATAGTAGACTCCAGACCCTTTGTTAAGTGCCCATGATAATGCAAGCATTGCATAGTATCTGAATCCTTCAGTAATGCTGAGACAGGCACTGTTATCTGCCACTTACACATGAGAGACTTGGAGAAATTAAACCATTTGCCCACAGTCCATAAAAACTTACAACTCATGGTGGATCTATGTGTGTAGGGTAGAACTCCTGTCCTGTAGGGTTTTCAATGGCTAGTTTTTTGGAAATAGATCGATCAGTAGGCTTTCCTTCCAAGGTGATCCACCAACCTTTTGGTCAGTTTGCATTACCCGGAGACTCCACCACTTAAGAAATAATTCCCCATCCCCTTTCTACAACCCATTGTAATTGTTAAGTGCCGTTGAGAGTTCTGATTCATAGTGACCCTGTATAGAGTTTCCAAGGAGCGGTTGGTGGGTTTGAACCGCCAACCTTGTGGTTAGTAGTCCAGTGCTTATCCATGACCCATAGCTAATAGTAATTGACTAAACGTCCACTACTCCATCTCCTTCCTGACAGAGAGTGGGGAAGATAGTTTGGCTTTCCTATGAATGGAAGCAGGGGTTCTTCACTGGAAGTCTTCTGGGGTCCTCCACTGACTCTGTGCCTCCCCTGTTCCAGGCTGGCCCAGTCACTATGGGCCATCTTCACCTCTACTCTGGCCATCTCACTGGTATTTGTCATCATCCCCTTCTGCCACAACGTGAAAGTGCTGGCCTTGGTCATGGCGCTGGCAGGCCTGGCCATGGGCTGCATTGACACCGTGGCCAACATGCAACTGGTGAAGATCTACCAGAAGGATTCAGCCATCTTCCTCCAGGTGAGCCCAGCTAACACCACCGGGGCAGAGAGGTAGAGCATAGGGTAAGGGGTTTCCTCAGCCTATTCCCTCTTCACCTTTCTCGCTTTGCATCCCAGCTCCTAACCCTCTCCCCAGGGACTCAGTCCAGTGAAACCACTTACCAACTGTGCCACACTGGGTCACCACTCAGTATCTCTGGACTTGTTGTTTTCGTTTCTACAACTAAGCAATGATCCCTGCCTGCCTAGCAGAGCTGTCACAGATATCTAAGTGGCAGTGAGAGAAAGTTCTTTGTGAACCAGAACAAAATGGTACTTGGAAGAATTGCTGTTTTCATTCTGTCTGTCTTTTCCTTCCTTCTCCCAGGCACTCCGGAACTCCAGTCCAGCCGTTTCCTCTATTAGCTTTTTCCTCTTTGGGGTGTTAGTTGGTGGAGGCTAAGGGAGCAGCTCCCAGTGGGGGTTTGTTGTTGTGTGCTGCCAAGTCAATTTTTTACTTTTAGTGATCCCATGTGATAGTAGAACTGCCCTCTAGGGTTTCTGGCTATAATCATCAAGGGAGCAGATTGCTAGGTTTTTCTCCCATGGAGCCACTGGGTAGGGCCCAAACACCAGCCTTTTGGTTAGCATAACTATGAGTCAGAAATGACTTGATGACACTTAACAATAACAACCACTGTGCCACAAAGGCTCCTTAGTTATGGGTTAAAAAAAGGAGAGAGGGGGAGGGAGAGAAGGGTTGACCACTGTCACCAGGATGGTCAATAGAGGAGCTTCACTCATTGGCAATGAGGGACACCTCCCTGCTTTCCTCCTTCCATGATTTACCATTCTGGGGCCTGGGCAGGGCCTCCTAGATAGGGCATGAGGTTGGGAGGTGGCACGGTGTGGGCACTCTGAATGAAGCCCAGAGCTTGGCTTCCCTGACCTGAGATTGAGCCCCCATGCTGACCCCATCCCATTCTCCTCTTCCCCAGGTACTCCACTTCTTTGTGGGCTTTGGTGCTCTGCTGAGCCCCTTGATTGCTGACCCCTTCCTCTCTGAGACTGACTGCTCACCTGCCAATGGCACAGCCAACACCACCTCCAGCAGCCACCTGTTCCATGCCCACCAGGTCCTGGGTCAGCACCACTCTGAGGTCCTGTCTCGGTCCAACCAGACACCCCCTGGGCTGCCCCCCCAGGACTGGACAGGAACCCACGTGTCCTACGCCTTCTGGATCATGGCCCTGATCAATGTAAGTCCCAACTGGGACAGGGCTGGGTGGGATGTTAAACAGTGCATTCACAGCCATCAGCTCCAGAGCAGAGTGACAAATGTGCTGTCACAAAGGAAGAAGCTGGGAGGCTGGCTCACTGACACCTGGGTTCATCTGAGCACAAGGGGGTTGGAGGAGATCTCCTTCAAGGTCATTTCCCCCCTATGTTTTATTTCTTGATTTGAACATTTTTTTGTGTTTTATGTGAAAGTTTACACAGGAAATTCATTTTCCAATCAGTAAGTCATACATAGACTGTCATATGACATTGGGTGTCAGCACTCCGTCTTTCTCCCTGGGTTCCTTGTTTCCATTCATCCAGTTTCCCTGTCCCTGCCTTCTCATCTTTGATTTTGGGTAAATGTTGTCCTTTTGCTCTTGTATAATTGATTGTTCTAAGAAGCACATTTTCCCCAGGTGTGATTATTTATAAGCTATCTATTAATTAGCTGAAAGATGACCTCTGGAAACATCTTCAGTTTTAAGTTAGAAGGTTATTTTAAGGTGATATGTTGGGTCTCAGGCAATTCCTTCAGTCTCTTTTAGACCAGTAAGTGTAGTTTTTGTTTGTTTTCCACTTGAATTTTGTTCTACATTTTTTACCCATTCTAACTGGGACATTCTATTGTGGTCCTGGTCAGAGTGGTTGGTAGTGGTAGCCAGGTGCTGTCTAGTTCTTCTGGTCTTAGGTTACTGGAAGCTGTGGTTTATGTGGGTCAAAGGTGGGGAACTTTTATTCTGCCAAAATTTATAACATCATTTGTGGACCATACAAAATTATCAACTTAAAAATTAGCCTGCTATATTTGATCAAAGGAACTCTGGGAGTGTAGTGGTTATGAATTGGGCTGCTAATCTCATTATGGTCAGCAGTTCAAAACTACCAGCTGTTCCTTAGGAGAAAGATGAGGCTTTCTGTTCCCATAAAGATTTACAGCCTCGGAAACCCTATGCAGGTTCGCTATGAGTCAGAACCAACTCCACGGCACATAACAACCAAACAACCAGATATTTGGTCAAACATTTCATTAACTCACAGGGCTGCTATGAGTCAGAACTGACTCCATGGCACTTAACAACAACAAAAAATATGGTGGAGTCCTGGTGTGGCACTGTGGGTTGATGCGCTGGACTGCAAGGTTGGTTTAAACTGCAAGGTCGGGGATTCAAGCTCACTAACTGCTGCTCAGAAACCCTATACAGAGTCTCTGTGGGTCAGAACTGACTTCACAGCACTTAACAACAATAACAGTGTGATGGCTGAAATGGTGGTTGCCTTGGCAGGGCCAGACCAAATAATTTCACAGGTTTTATATGAGCTGTTGGCCTAGACGTCCCCTTCCCCTAATGTAGGCCTTGAGTCTTTGGTTTTTTTCAGGCCCCTTTACTCCAGGTGGAAATACACAAGTAATTGCTTCTTAGATTACTTCTCACAAGCATATAAGACCCCAGACATTACTCTCCAGGCTCAGATGTATAATATTATAACTGTGTTTTACCAGTTGACCTAGATGCCCTTTCAGGCTATCGTCCTTAGCCTTCAAGTCCAATACTTCAATCCCAACGTCTAAGCAGTTTGTATAACTGTGCCCCCTACATGCTCTATCAATATATATAAGTCAACAAGTATTGCTATAAAATAATGAAAACCTTTATTAAATAAAAATATCAAAATGTGAACCTATTGGTTTCTTGGCAGATCCTCTCTAACTTTTTTTTCCCCTAAACTATACATTTTTATGAAAACAGGCTGCCTTATCTCTCACAGAGCAGCTAGTAGGTTCAAACTGCTGATCTGTTGGTTAGTAGCTTAGTGCTTTCCACAGTGCACCACCAGTGATACCCACCCCCCACTCAGTGCCATCAAGTCGATTCCAACACCTTTCTAATTTTATTCTGAAGAATTCTGTGCTCTTTAGTTTCCATCATGTCAAAAAGGCAGTTTGGGCATCCTTAAGGGGCTCAATTGCATACCTGTTGAATATTCTTTGAGTTTGGGAACAACAAACAAGTCTGAAGGAGCATCATCAGGGCTTTAGGGCGAATGTGGTAAAGTTCCCCAACAAAATGCTCATAGGACTGCCTTTCCTACTCTTGAAGAATGAGCAGGTGCATTGTCATGATGGAAAAAATATCCTTGGTGTAATTTTCCTGGCCTTTTTCTTGCCACTGTAGTTTTCAGTATTCTTACAACTTCTTCATCAGAAGCCCCTATGATCGTCTTGTATTCTTCAAGAAAATCTACCGAGATTACCCCTTTGGGATTCCAAAAAACCGTCACCATAACCTTCTGAGCTAAGCTTTCTGCCTTCAATTTAACTGGCCCAGAAGATCCCCTTGGAAGCCACTGTTTTGATTGGATCTGGGGGAGGTGGGGGAAGACACTGTAATGAGACTAAAACAAGTATATAAGTGAGAGAACTTGTCTGCAGCCATCCCCTGATTGTAGAAACATTTATTTGGATAAATGTTTGGATAAATGTATAAAAATACATTTTATTTGGAATAAACTCATGCACATATGAGCTGGATCCCTTGTAGCAATACTTGTTACTTATGCTTATAGGTGAGTATATAGGCAGCATTTTAAAATCTGTATGTAGATATATACACAACAATATTTATACCCATACAACTTCCCCACCTACATGCCATCCATATTTACCTAGGTTTCTACTCACAAATTATTTTTAGTTATTACTGTTATTACAGGGTAGGATGGCGCTGCGGTCTAATGCACTGGGCTTCAAGGCCCGTTTGAACCAAAAGATGGGCAATTCAAGCTCGCCAGCTGTTCCTCAGAAACCCTATATGGGGTCGCTATGAGTCGGAACTGACCAGCCGGCCCTTAACAACAACAACAACATATGGTGTTGCATTTACCATTGTTTCCTCTACTCTTGCTTACACATCAGTACTTTCCTTTGCCTTGGTCATGTTGAGCTCACTTCCCCCCACATTGTATACTACTACCTTTCTTTCACCATAATTAACACTTGTGTATACCTTAGATTTTATTGACTTTGCTATTGTTGAGAATATTCACAGCAAAACACACACAATTCAACAGTTTTCATATGTACCATTAGTGACGTCGATTACATTCTTTAAATTGCACAACATTCTCAGCCTTTTTCTGAGTTGTTGCTTCCTCATTCACACAAATTCACTGCCCCTAAGGTTCTTAATCTAATCTTTCAAGTTACTATTGTCAAATTGATCCTTTGCAGATAGATCTTAAAAGAGCAAGCAGATCTTTTTTTGTCTAGTTAAACTAAATTATTGTTTGGTTTTAAGAAGACTTCAGGGGTCCTCCAAGGTCTTTTAGCAACATTCAGTGGTTATAATTCTCAAGGAATGTGCATGTTTAGCACAGAGAAAACCAGAGTCAACTTTCAAGATCCCTGAGGATCCTTGGGAAAGCAAATTTCTCAGCCATGGTAGATGAAGTTGCCCAGGGATAGAGGGCTGCAGGGGATGTCAGGTTTGGGGGAAGTGTGGCAGGGGGTAGGGAAGGAGGGCTTGCTCTCTGTGCCCTTCTGCCCCTGATGTTTAAGTGGGTTCCTAGGAAATCTAGAGATAGATGAGAGGGTCTCTGAGAATCTCTGCCTGCTGGGTTAGCCCGGGTATGACCCCTCAGTCTATGACTAGTCAGTTATTGAGGCTTACTCTGCACCCCATCTTTACTTTCTCCCCAGCCAAGTCAGCTCTGACTCCAGTAGCTTGCTATAGAAACTTCCCCTGGTGCTCTGCAACCAAAGCCAGTGTCCTCCATATTAACACAGCTGGAGACTTAAGGAGGAGAAGGGGATACCATCTTCACCTCAGCTGAAAATCCAGGAGCAATCCTGGCTTGGGCCCAGAGTGGGGAGTGGGGAGTATCACAGGGACTGTCTGCCTAATGTGTGTGGGGGGTCCCATATCTCTGGACCCCCCAACTCAGAGCTCCCCTGATGCAAGCACCACAGCAGTTGCCCAATTCCTGTAGTGCCTCAGGATGATTGATCGAGACCACCAGTCCCACTGAGCAGGGAATAACATTCCATCACTGGCTCAAGGTCCTTGTAAGTAAGGGTGGAGCCAGGCTGGAGCCCTGGCTCACCCACCACTCACAGCACAGCCCTTCCTTTGCCCTGTCTTCTCATTTGTCACTGTATTCCCTGTACCAGAACCTTCACTGCTGCCTCTCAGAAACATCACGTCCCTGCCCCAGCCCTTTATACCAGGACCCATCCCATGTCTCAGAAACAATGCCACTGGGCCTGTGCTTTCCAGGGGGTCCTGCAGGGTCAGGAGCAGTGTCATTACATCTGGCTGAGACCTGAACCAGGAAGCCGGAATGTTCTGCAGGCTTAAGCCGGAGCGAGGTCTGTTCGCTCATGCCGCACACGCTGCAGTTGGACTTTTGTTTGCTGCAGGATTTCCGGACGTTTGCGTTGGCATGTCTGAAAGTAAATAGTCCTCCCCCTTGTCCCCCTCACCCCCCACGAAGAGAATGGAGCACACCCACCTGCCATCTACTCACTTTTAAATGGGAGCTTGTCTTCCCGAATGGATCCTTATCATAAAACTCCACGTGTTCCTGCAGCCATGCCTCCCCACCCACTCCTGGAAAGCCCCACCTGAGCGATCACACTCTTGAACAGCTGTTTCCTTTTGACCTTTACCCCTAGCGTTGGCCACTTCAGGCCTCTTGTGTGTGGGTTTCCTGTTTCCCCTAAAAGTCTGGAGGGATGACTGTGTCTCTCCCATCAGACCTGGGACTCCCTGTGAGCCAGGCTCGATTTGTGACTTTAATTATGCCAGGAGACGGTGCTTCATGTTGATTGGCAGTTATTTTCTGGTTTTGACTATTTAATACAGTGTTCATTTTGTTTTATATTGCCACGAGCATGTATAACTCAGTGGACTTTGGGTGATTTCTGAGTGTGGAGAGAGGCTCCCTAAGTCACCACAGAGAGGTAGCCACACAGAGGATGGACTTCCCTTTCTAGTGATCTGGAAACGAGCCTGTGTGGATCCGCCTGTAGGGAGTGGCGGAGGTTTCCCCAGAGCTGTCTGTAGATTCCCATCTCTGGGAGGCTTCTACCAGCTAGAGGGAGCGTTCAGCTGGCAGCTCTTACCAGCTTCTAGGAAACTTTCGGGGCAAAAGGAACTGGGATGACATCCCAGCAAGAGAAGCAGAGATTTCCCTGTGATGAAGAGCTTCCTGATAGCAAGGGTGGTTAGATTCAGGCAGAGGCACCCAAGGGAGGAGCTAGAGCCTTCTCCAGGCAACCTCAGAAACAGATGTTTTCTCATTGCTCTGGGAAGTTTCAGGGAAACCTAACTGGCTTCATATAAATACCAGTGAACTTCACACAGGGGCTAGTGTGTATTTGCTATGTCTAAGTGTGCATTTCAAATAGAAAGAAGTCTTTGTCTCTGCTTTCTAGTTTAGACCCCAATTCTCTGAGAACAGACTTTATACCCTCCTAGGGTAGGTTCAAGCATCATCAGCTGCTCCTTGGGAATCCTATACAGAGTCACTATGGGTCGGAACCAACTCGACGGCACTTCACAACAACAACAACAACAACAACAGGGTAGAAAGTAAAGAGGACTTAAAATACTTACTGATGAAGATCAAAGACCACAACCTTCAGTATGGGTTGCATCTCAATGTAAAGAAAACAAAAATCTTCCAATTGGACCAATAAATAACATCAGCATAAATGGAGAAAAGATTGAAATTGTCAAAGACTTTGTTTTGCTTGGATCCACAATCAACACTCATGGAAGCTGCAATCAAGAAATCAAATGACGTATTGAATTAGGCAAATCTGCTGCACAAGACCTCTTTAAAGTGTTCAAGAGCAAAAATGTCAGTTTGAGGACACAGGTGCACCTGACCCGTGCCATGGTATTTTTAGTTGCCTCATATGCATGTGAAAGTTGGACAAAACATGAGGAAGACCGTAAAAGAATTGATGCCTTTGAGTTATGGTGTTGGGGAAGGATATTAAAAGTACCATGGATTGCTAGAACAAACAAATCTGTATTAGAAGAAGTACCACCAGAATGTTCCTTAGAAGCCAGGATGATGAGACTTTGTCTCTCATACATCAGACATGTTATCAGGAAGGACCAGTCCCTGAAGAACATTATGCCTGGTAAAGTGGACGGTCAATGAAAAGAGGAAGACCCCCAAGGAGATGAATTGGCACAGTGGCCGCAGCAATGGGCTCAAGCCTAATGATTGTGAGGATAGCATAGGACTGAGCAGTGCTTCATTCTGTTGTGCATAAAGGTTGCTATGAGTAGGAACCGACTAAACAGCACCTAACAAAACAAACAGGGTAAAACATCACTAGACAGGCTCTGAAGCAGAGAGAGTGCTGGACAGAGAACCAAGATACCTGGTCCCTCCCGTCTCACTGTGTCACCAAGGCACATCACACTGGATCACTAGCTCATCTTTCCATTCTCTTCCAGTTCTAACAGCTTATGATAAATGACAACTTCTCTGAGCCTCAGTTGCCTCATCTGGAAAATGGGAATAATGATTTCACCCAGCACATTTATAGAGCTGTCATGAGCAATAAATTTTTATTTACTTTTTTTTTTTTTTAATTGTGGTTTGGGTGAAATTTTACCTAGTAAATTGCTCTTCCATTCAACAATTTTGTTTTGTGACACTGATTGCAATCCCTACAATGTACTGGCATTCTTCCCACTTCCTCCCTGTGTTAAATTTCCATTTTTTAAATCCCCTTTGATCTCAAATAGTTAATTGTTCTAAGGAGTGCATACCTACGTCCCTGGTGTTATTTTTCACCTTATAGACGTGTCTATTGTTTGGAAGAAAGTTGAACTACAGGGTTGAATTCTATTCCAGACTTACAGGTGTCTAAGGGCCATGTCTTGGGGTCTTGGGGGTTCTACCACTCTATCTGACCAGATAAATACCTGGGGTTTTTTGTTTGTTTGTTTGTTTTTATGGTTTCGAGTTTTATTTCACATTTTTCTCCTACTCCATCTGAGACCTCCAATTGTGATCTCTTTCAAAACAGTCAGCAGTGGTGGCCAGGCACCACCTAGTTCTTCTTGTCTCTGGGTCGCTGAGGCTGGGGTTCATGTAATCCATTAGTTCTCTAGCCTTATTGTTTCTGTGTGTCTTTTTCTTCACTCCTCTTTGCTCTGGATGGGGAGAGACCAATAGTTGCACCTTAAATAGTAAACGGGAAGCATCAACAACAGAGATGGAGGCAGAGATGATGACATGGAGAGACACAGCAGCCTAAGACTCTAGACTTATAGAAAGACTGTGCTGGTGGCCAGGAGGCAGGCTTGCAGAATGTACCCTGTGTTTGTTTAAATGATTATATATTCCTGAGTGTTTTGGTGTACATCCAAAAAACAAAGGGAATAGAAGCAAATACTGTTGAATGATGATGCATGGAGGGGATTATAACCATTGCAATGAAAAGTAATACAATAGGATGAGTGTAAAACTGATGTTCTCCCATGTAAACTATCACTCAATTCACAATAAGAACTTTTTAATAAAAAAGTAAACTGGTTTATAAAGCATCACATAATCTACCAGCATGGAGTGGCGTGAGGCGCCTTACTCTGACACTGGCGTGTCTCTCTGGCACCGCTTTTGAACCAGGAGAGGCCTGGTGGGAGCACAGGCTCTTCTGGGAAATGCATGTGTTTAAGGTTGGGCAGAAATTACACCAAGTCCCTAGTCCTCTGCCTCATCAGGGCACGTGGCTGCATTTGTGGGAGATGGCTCACAAGTATGTATCCTTGCACAAAAGCTAGCTTCTCCAGCATGGTGCAGATGCAGTGTGAAGGTACTGCCTTGTGGCAGTGTGCGCACTGGGCTGGGGCAGGACAGACTGGAGGTGGGCAGGCTCCCCTGACTCTCTGCTCCCACCCCCTCAGCTTCCGGTGCCTGTGGCTGTGCTGCTTCTCCTGTCCAAGGAACAGCTGCTGACCTGCTGCCCTCAGAGGAGGCCCCTGCTCCTGACTGCAGATGAGCTTGCCCTGGAGACACGGCCTTCGCAGAGGGAAGACCCTGCCTCGCTGTCTCCAAAGCTTCAACCAGACCCAGGTGGGGCTCCAGTGAACTCTTATCCACAAGCCCCAAGTGTACAATGCCCACATACCTACCACTCCCAGCACAGGGTCTTCCAATTCTATGGGGCGAGTAGGGTAATGCCACAGGACCACTGACTTCTGAGGTTCATCTGAACACAGAGCAGATTAGATGAGATTCCCTTCACGGTCCCTTAGAGATGACATGTGATTCTATTTCTCAAGGTGATAGTCCTTCTCTAGGACTCCCCTGGCAACCCCTACTACCCACCCTCTCCCTCTAGAGCAGCTCTAGATCACAGGTGATAATGGTTGGAACAAAGCTTTGACCCTGACATGAGATGGTCTTAAGAGGAGGCAGTAGCTAGAGCAACCTGGCCAAGACTGCTGGCTCCAACTTCCATTCTGCTCAATCCCACCCTGTGACCTTGGGTAAATTACTTAGTCTCTCTCAAGCCATGATTCTACCAGGACTATGGGATGGATGGAGTCCTAGTGTGGCACTGTAGGATCAGTCCTGGACTGCTGACTGAAAGGTCAGTGGTTGAAACCCACCAACTGCTCCTTGAAAACCCTATCCAGGGTCACTATGAGTCGAAGCCGACTTGACAGCACTTAACAACAACAACATTGACAGGACAGTGAGTGACAACCAAAGAAGGTGGGAGACAGTATGTGGTCCCCCTTCTGCCAGGACTCTTCTGACTGCAGACACATTCCCTGGGCAAGTGGGGGGTTGGGGAGAAGCTGGAACCCACCCCTGTGTCTTTTCTAGGGCATGAGGACCTGTTCAGCTGCTGCCAGAGGAAGAACTTCAAAGGGGCCCCTTTTTCCTTCTTTGCCATCCACATCACAGCCGCTCTGGTCCTGTTCATGACAGATGGATTGACGGTGAGCCTGTCCTCGACCCAGTTCCCTGAGGCACAAGTGTGGGGTGGCAAGAGAAAGAGAAAACTTTAACAAAAGCTGCTAGGAGAGGCTGTCTCTAGAATCCTCCCCAGCTCCTTGGAACTATGGGCTTCAGATATAGTCGCTTGCTTTTATTTTTGTTTTCTTTCATTAAATCTATGAATGAGCCCATCTCATTTGTTCACAATTGTAGTTTACCCACTTCTTTAAGGAGCAGAGCTCTGTTCCCCCAATTAGAGATCCTGTCACATCAACTAAAGGTCGAGCTGTTTCCTGGAATACATTACAAGACTAGGCCTCTCAAGTCAATGTCAGAACAAGCCGCAGGCAGGATTTGGGCTCAGCTACCCATGCAATGGCACCTAACAACAACAGTTCATCCCACCTGTGACTTCTATAATATTCGACTCTACCTTGTCTCAGAAATCTCTCTAGGATTAGATTAGCATGGTTTTCAATAACTGATAAATGAATGAATTGTATATGAGGGACTATCCAGAGAGGAGGTCCTAAGAAACTTAGAGTAGGGGCAGCAGAAAGTTCTTGTGACAGTTCTGGTTGATTTCCAACTCCCAGTGTGACCTTGGGTGAGTCATTTGTAAAATGAGATGCTTGTGCACACCCTTTATTATTCTTAGTGTTAAAGCTGTGGTGACCTTCTGAGAACAAAACCACAGAGAAATCTTCATAAATATGACACGTGCTAGAACTCTGCTGTGGTTGGAAGGGAAGCAGTGTTTGCCTGTCCTGTCCCCCAGGAACTCCCTGTGAGATCCATACACTGCCCCGAGCTCCTACACCTCCACAGGGTCAGTCTGTCCATGGCCCCCAGGTCTGTTCTCAGCACAGGTGTCTAGGTCTCTGAACCCACCCTTCACTGAGAGTCTTTGAGCAAAACCAGTCTGCCCTTAGCCCTACCACATCTGCCCCAGCCTGGGCTTCTTCCTCTGTGAGGGTTAGGGTCTGGCTGGGCTACAAGTGTGCTCATGGGGGCCTGGTCCCTCCACAGGGGACATACTCTGCCTTTGTGTACAGCTACGCAGTAGAGAAACCGCTGTCTGTGGGACACAAGGTGGCCGGGTACCTCCCCAGCCTTTTTTGGGGCTTCATCACTCTGGGCCGACTCTTCTCCATTCCCATCTCCTCTCGAGTGAAGCCAGCCACCATGGTTTTCATCAACATGGTAAGTGGCCTCCTGTTCATGCCCCCCAGGACATTTACTTGCATCTGGACAGGGTGGAAAGAAGAGAGAGTCTGGGGAAGAAGGGATGAAAATACAAGCTGTGCAGCCCCACATTTCCCTTTCTAGGGCTCTGGTTTCATCCCCATAAGGAGAATAGGGGAAGACAGTGATGGCTGCTGTGTGCAGACTAGATCCCAGCCTGGAGAGTGTGAGGAAAGTAGACGTTGACCCTGGTCCTCCTATCCACGTTGGTGCATAATTGGAGGTCTGTGGCAGAGATCTTTCAGAATCACCACCTATAGTCTGGAGCCCGGGATATGCATTTTGGAGCTCTCCTAGTTGATTCTTATTTTATTTTTGGTGAAAATCTACAGAGCAAAACATGTACTATTCAAAAATTTTTACACCCGTTTTTCAATGACATGGGTTACATTCTTCACTTTATGTTAATAATCTTGCTTTTTCTAGGTAGTTATTTTATCACCATTAATTTAGACTCCTGGAGTCCAGTTGTGGCACTGCAGGATAATATGCTGGACAGCAAGGTTAGTTTGAACTGCAAAGTCACTGGTTCAAATCCACCAGCTGCTCCTTAGAAAGTGCTCCTTGGAAAGGGGCACTATGGGTTGGAACTGACTCCGTGGCCCTTAACAACAACAACTTAGATCTGTAGTCCTGGTGTGGTGCTGGAGGATAAGCACTGGACTGCTAACCTCCAGGTCAGTGGTTCAGACCCATCAGCCATTCCTCAGAAACTCTGTACAAGGTCACTATGAGTCAGTACCAACTCAGCACTTGAAGCACTTAACAACAACAACAATTTAGACTCATTATCTCCCTAATCTTCTCAACTATATTTAACAAAGTGGGGGTAGTCATTGAAACCTCTTTTAATTTGGTTACATTCATGATCTAGAATGAATCTGGCTTGAAGACCTGTAGGTATTTTTTATAAGGACTAAGCTATTAGGGACAAATTAGGAATCCAGGTTCTGCAGTACCCACAAAGACCCCCCAAACCCTTGTAGCTGCTTCTTGATTTTAGGCATTGGGAAAGCAAGGGCAGTCTCTTCCCATTTAGGATTAACAGATATATACTAGCCATATACATATATACAGAGACTAGGGGGCCTAGATTATTTAATAGAAGACAGAGCAAATTGCAGCTTACTTTTAGCGAACTTATGCTCACCAGCAAGCAGTTCAATGTTTCAGTAAAATTTTGCTGCAGCAATACAGTCTTGCTGGGAAGCTGACCATATTAACAAATCATCTGCACACTGTAATAATTTAGAACCTTTCTTATATTGCAAAGGTTGCAAATCTGCATGGAGGACCCGAGAAAAGTAGGAAGTGGGCTCAGTTAACCTTCAAGTCATAACAGTCCAAGTAAGGTGCTGGTGGTCTCAAGTGAAAACAAACAACTATTAGCTGTTAAGATACATAGGAATACTAAAAACACTGCTATAAATTTCTGTAACTGTAAAATGGGTGACCTTTGGGAGAACATTTGAAAGTAATGAGTGAAGGTTAGAAACTACAGGAACCCTAGGGACAACAATACAATGAATGATCAGCATATCTTGAACAAATCTCATCTTTGCTGTTTAGCCTTTTGAGGAACAGGGCAGGCATATTACATGAGCTTGTGCAAGGAATCATTACTCCTTTAGGATGATGGGGCAAGGCCTTCTTTTGCCTCTTGTTTAAGGGGGTACTAACAGACTCCTAGGAGTTCTGGTGTGGTGCTATGGGTTAATGCAGCAGACTGCAAAGCCATTTGAACTGCAAGGTCGGCGGTTCAAGCTCACCAGCTGCTCCACGGAAACCCTATACAGGGTCTCTATGGGTCAGAACCCGACTAGACAGTACTTAACAACAACAACAACAAACTCCTGGTATGGGATAAACGCTGGACTGTTAACCACAAGGTCAGCAGTTCAAACCCACCATCTGCTCCTCAGAAGCCTTTTATATAGGGCTGCTATGAGTCAGAACCAACTCAACAGCACTTAACAGCAACAGTAACAAGGGAACTTTAAGGAGCTGCTAGCCAGAAGGTTGATGGTTCAAACCCACCAGCTGGTCCTTGAGAGAAAGATGAGGCTGTCTTCTTCTGTAAAGATTTACAGTTTTGGAATCAACTACATGGTAATGGGTTTGGTTTCTAAGGGATCTTTTGTAGAGGTTTAGATGAGTCTACTTATGAATGGGGCTGTCAACCTTAAGGTCAGTAGTTCGAAACTACCTGCAGTTCCACGGGAGAAAGATGAGGCTTTCTGCTCCCATAGAGATTTACAGCCTCGGAAACCCTGTACAGGGTCGCTATGAGTTGGTTCTGACTCCACGGCACATAACCACCACCAGTATTTTGATGGATTTGGTGATAGGACTCCGAGTACATTGGCAGATGTACTGGACTGGAAGTCCTCAGAAAGGGATGAGAGAGTGCTATCTATGAAAACTTATCAGCTAATGTTAGAGTTTAGAAATGGATGGTAAGAGCTGCATATAACAAAGATGACCCCTTTCTGAATACAGCCTGACTCTACAGAGTGAGGAGAGTCAGGTCTTTCCTTAGTTATCTTGTTCTGCTGGGACAGAAATACCAGGAATGGATGACTTTAACAAGCAGGAATTTCTTTTCTCACAGGTGGGGAAGTTAGAAGCCCTGATTCAAGCTTTCAGCTCTAGGGGAAGGCTTTCTTTCTCTTTCACCTCTAGAGGAAGGTTCTTGTCCCCTTTCAACACCTGTTGAAGATTTTCATATGTCATGATATCAATATTTTCCTGGGTCTAGAGGTTCTCAGTACAAGGACCCCGGGTCCAAAAGACGCACCTCTCAGTTCTTTTCTCTTGGGGACAGGAGGTCCTGTGGGTTAGGATCCCACAAATATATCTTGGAGGTTCAATTCAATTCCTAACAGATTCCAAAGTCCTTGAGATGAAGAGTAAGGGTGCTAGTACTTTTGTGGTCAGCTATGGCTTCCTCTTCCAGGCCAAACATAAGGGCAGTTGCTAAGAAAGAGGAGTGTGTGGCTGGGAATCTGGCCTTGAGAGTGAAGAAAGTCTATTGTCTTCATGTGTGTTTGGCACTGACGTGTTTATAATTCACCCAGAGTACCTGTGTTTAAAAAGAACGCCCAACTCCTGGGCCAAACCCAGAATCAGTGAATTGCAGTGTTCAGGGGAAAGGCTGGCAGTCTGTATATTTAACCAACATGTTAGTGGGTTCGTATCATCAAGCTATCTTGGGAAAACAATGTCCCAAAGCAATTGATTCTTAAATATATTAGACTCACTGGAGGAGCTCTTAGGAAATCCAGCTTCCTCGGCTCTGGCCCTGGAGATCCTGACTCAGGAGGTGTGGGAGGAGGCTGTGCCTCTAAATTGTTTTCAGAGCTACTCAGGTGCTCTTGGTGCACAATCTGTTTAGGAAGTACAGCCAAGCAGCCCTGGAGACAGCCTCCCGGATGCTGCCACTTGTGAAGCAATGTCTCCCAGCATACCTCTCAATGTCATTTTATTTTATTTTCAATATTCTTATTTGTTGTAGAGAAGACACACAGCAGAACACACACCAATTCAACAATGTCTAAGTGTACAATTCAGTGACATCGATTCTATTCTTTTTGAGCAGCCCTTCTCACCCTCCTGTTCTGAATGGCTCCTTCCCCGTTCACATAATCACACGGCCCCTGAGTTTCCTACCTAGTCTTCCGAGTTGCTGTTGTCAGTTTGATTCCTTACAGGGAGTTCTTAAAGGAGCACAGTGCCCATGGTAGACACTCCTTACCAGCTAGGTTAAACTTTGGTTTGGTTTTAAGAAGGCTTCAGAGGATATACTTGGTTTGGGTTTAAGGTTTAAAAATGGTCTCAGGACAGTAGTTTCAGGACTTCATCAACCCTCCATGGATCCAGAAAGGCAGAATTCCTTAAGAATTTAAAATTCTGTTTTGCATCCCACCCCCCCCACCCCACCTTTTTGTCAGGATTTTTCTATAGAATATTTGATCAAATGTTCAAATTTAATTCTAGCTGGTTTCCATCTAATTCTTCTGGGTCTCATAGTAAAGGAGGCAGTTGTTCAGGGAGGCAATTAGCCCCACCTTCCATTTCTCCTATTCCTGCCTCTTCTTCCTCTGTTGCTCCAAACAAATAGATTCCTCTAGTGGTTTTTTGTTTTTGAGTTAACATTTTTATTAACGGTATCTCTTTCCAGTGAAAACCTTTGAGGTGATTCCTCTAGTTTAATCCAATTCTCAACTTTCTCCTGGGTCTCCATGGCCACTTACTGATTTAATGAGTGTGGAGAAGGCTCTCTCTCTCTGTGTCAGCTCTGGAGGAGAGTCTTTGTACCCTAAGTTGTGGCTTAGCCTCTCTCTTCCCCCATCTCTGCTTTCTTGCTTGTTTGTTCAATCTCTTATATCTCCAAACAGATCGACTCAAGTCATATCCTGCACTAACCTTGTCTCATTAGCATTCGAAAGACAATCCATTCCCAAATAGGATTCTACAGGCATAGATGATAGGATTTACAACACATATTTTGAGAGGTACAATTCAACCCATAACAGGGCGATTCCAAGCATATTGCCAAGGGCCATGTAAAAATGCTTAATTCATCTTTCAGCCTCAGTGGCAGAAGACTGAGTGGGCCCACTGAGAGCAGAGTGATGCAGGAGAACTGTGCCCCTAAGACAGTGTGACTGCAGTGGGTGGCAAATGCAGTCAAAATGATGACAAGGGTATCAGTCAGAGATTGAAGCTGCAAGCCACAGCAACCTAGCCAGAAAAGAACTATTAAAAATCAGGCCATCCGCCCTTATCAAGATTACAGCAATACAAAACCCTATGGAGCAGTTCTACTCTGTCACACAGGGGACCATCCTGAGGCAGGGCAGACTCAATGGCAGCTAACAGTAACAACATTGTGGAGAGCATCGGACTGATGGGATGCTAAATAACCAAGCTCTGAAAACAGCTACAGCCTGACCAAGGGGATGCCTCTGTTTGCCCCTCTACTACTGGGCCCTCTCTGGCTCTGGCCTCTCAGCGCCATTACTGGGTATGTTTTGTCAACCTTGCCTGCATCTTTGTTTCATTCCTTCAGGAGACAAAGTCCCAGGCAGGAGCATCCAGCTGGTTTAGCTGAGACCACCTGGTTGGTGAACGGGGACCGTGGCAATGCAGAGACTTGGTGGAAATCTAGGGTTTAGAGTTCCGAAGACATGTGACAGTGTACTGGTAGAAGACATTGCACTGAAGAACAAGCAGGAGACAAGAGCTGTGAGGAAAGGACTGTCATTAGGAGGAACAGTCTGGGAGGAGGTGAAGGAAGCCCTGCTGTGCCCGGGAAAGAGGGGGCCACAGCAGAAGGGAGGGTCTGGTCAGGGGAGAGGAGAGTGTAGCTGAGAGACAGTCAGCAGCTGAGGCAGGATGGTCCCACCAAGTGGGAAGAGTTGGTTGGCAGGATCCATAATTCACCTCAGGCACAGTCTTCTGTCACTAAAACTAAAATAAGTTTGGGGTTAGTAACTTCTCCAGATCTAGAGATTTCTTGCTGGGCGACTGTCTTCAAGGCTTGTCTGGAAATATGTGTGTTTTGGAACTTGGCTAGCCAATCGGAAGGTAGGAGCAGGAACAACATCTTCAAAGTACAGGTGCCCACCTCAGGCTCAGGGAAGGCCTCTCTGAGGCAGAGACTTAAGTTGAGAGCTGACTATCAAGAAGGTGCCAGTCACGTGAAGAGTAGAGGGTTAGAGACCTGGCAGAGGTCACTGAGTTCAAGGGCCCCAAGATGGGAACTTACTTGGTTGGGTGGAACATGGTGGATGGGGAGAGATGGGCAGAAAGGGTGACACTGGGGAGGCAGACACAAGCTAGATCCTGTAGGCCTCCTCAGCTAGCGTTTGCATTTGATGCTAAGTGGGTGGGAGACATTAGCAGGTTCTAAGCCGGGAATGACCCAACCTACTGGGCATTTCTAAAGCTCACTCTATTTGTCTGAGGACAGTGATAACTCAATGAATGGAAGAATCACTCAGTGGTAGACTGGGGCAGAGACAAAGATGCTAATATGTTTGGGGCTTCTTTTGGAGGGAGTAGGGGAGGTTTGGAGAAAATGTGTACAACAAAACATACGCCAATTCAACAAATTCTACATGTATGATTCAGAGACATTGGCTGCATTCTTCAAGTTGCGTCATCCTTCTTGATATGCTTGTCCAAAGTATTTCAGCATCATTAACACAAACCTGCTGCCCTCCACCAAGATTCTCATCGAACATTTCAAGTTTCTATTGTCAATTTGATCACATACAAATAATTCTTTGCTCAAGGCAGACATTCTTTTCTAATTAAGCTAAACAATTGTTTGGCATACAGATGACATCAGGGAATGGTTTCTGTTTAAGGTTTAAAGATATCCTAAGGGCAATAATTTGGGGTGGGGGTGAGGGCAGAGGGGGTGATAGTCATCCATCCTCAATGGCTCCAGAAACACTGGATTCCATGACAACTTGAAATTCTGTTCTGCATTTCCTCCCCCACCTTTTTTTTTTTTAATCTCAAATACTATACTTTAATATCACTGAGAAAGAAAAGGAAACAAACCTTTCTTCTCACTTGAGTTCCAGTGTGAGAACATTTTACACTCTGCACTTTACCCAGAGGCTGGCACAAGAAGGCAGCAACCCTGGATCTGAAGCAAAGGTGGGTGCGGCTGATGCCTAATGGTCACTGGGTGGCAGCAGTGCTGTCTCTGACAAATAAATTAGTGGCATAGAGATGTGAGGCGCACAAGCTGTGAGTCTCCTTCTCTGCTGGGGTTGCATGTCTTATCTCCTTGACCGAAGCAAGACCCTGGTGGGAGCAGGCAAAGTATGGAATGGCTCAGGTGGTGCTGGCAGATCTTGGAAGGTCATATTAGGTTGTAGATGGAGGATCTTGAAGGCTGGATGGCCATGGGGGCCAGGCAGGAACTAGGCCAGGGTCTCACCCCTCTAGGATAAAGGGCTGAATCAGCTTCGGGTTCAACAGCGACTCCTCAAGAGGCCAGTCCACATGGAAGTCATGAACATGGGGGGGTCCTGGGTGGGCCTAGGGAGCAAGGCCCCCTGGGCGCTGGGGAATCGGCAGCTCTGAAGGATGGGCAGGCAGGGGGGCTGTGAAGAAGTACTGGTGCAGAAAGGCCTGGGAGGCCATGATGCGCTGAGAGCAGAAACTGACTGAGCAGGTCCAAGGCTTGGGGAGAAGCATCAGGCAACACCTCCTCCAGGGGCTCAGGTGCCTGGTCCTTAAAGGAGATCTTGTTGTAGTCAGGCCAGACTTGAGGGCTGGGGGTGCCCAAGACTCGAAGCACACAACAAAGCTGTTCAATGTCATTCTCTCCAGGGAAAAGGGGAGATCCATTCAATAGTTCTCCCATGATGCATCCCACGGCCCACAGGTCGACACCCTGATCATACTGCCGGGCACCATACAGGATCTCAGGGGCTCGGTACCATCTGGTGGCCACCTGGTGGGTATAGAGGCGGTTGCCATCTGGGGAAAAGACATGTGCCAGGCCAAAGTCTGCTATCTTGAGCTGGCCTGAGGTGCTGATAAGCAGGTTGGCTGGTTTCAGGTCTTGATGAACAACGTTGTTGGCGTGGCAGAAGGCAACACCTTGAGCAGCATCTGAAGATAGCTCTTGACCTGGACCTGGGTCAGTGGCCTGTGTGCATGGCACACCACCTCAGCTAGATCAGACAGCATGAACTCAAAGGCTAGCATGAAGCCAGCACCATGTGGGAACACAGCCTTCAGCTTCACCACATACTGATTGTCTTCAATCTCCTGCAGAGCCTTGATCTCCCACGGGGCCTGGCTGGGGATGCCATCCTCCAGCCGCCTTAGGGCTACCTTCTTGAGGGCAACTATCTCTCCAGTGTCCCCGTGCTTGACCTTGAAGACAATGCCGTGGGCACCCTCCCTGATGCGACCCAAGATGCAGTACTGGTCCATTGGAGATGGGCAGCACGGACCGGATCAGGAGTTCACTTAGTGAAAGCCAGGCACCTTCACTTACGTGGGCCAGGACCGCCCTTGCCACGCTTCCCTGACTCCAGAGTCAGGTTCCCTCCCTTCAGGCTTACAAAAGCATGTCCAGGAGCATCTTCCCCCTTTCTCTTTCTTTTCAATCACAAATGCCTTTTCCACCTGGAGAACCTTTATAGGTTCCCCGCTACAGCCACATCCTAGTCCCAAAGACGTAGCATGGGTGCCAGAGAGTCCCCGCGCCTTTGGAATGACAAAATTGCAACGAGTTCTGCCTTCTAGGGCCCCTGCCTGCACCAGAGCACTGGCCTCTCTCCCACTTTTGATCAGAATCCTTTTGTAGAATCTTTGATCAAAATGTTCAGTAACAGACCAGACTTACTGTTTTGACAAGAGACTGATGAAACCCCTCCCCTGCCCCAAGACTAGGGTCATTAGATATCCTTCAGACCTGGAACTGAACAAGGTTTTTATTGTGAATTGAGTGGTAGTTTGCATAGAAGAACATCAGTTTTACACTCATCATTTCATTGCAATGATTACAACCTTCTCCGTGCATATCATTCAACAATATTTGTTTCTACTCCCTCTTTTTTTTTTTTTTGGTGAGGGGGTGTAGACAAAAACACTCAGGAATATATAATTTAAACAACCAAAGGGCATATTCTGGAAGCCTGCCTCCTAGCTGCCAACACACAGCCTTTCTCTTTCCATGAGTCTACCTTAACAGTTGTGACAATCGCAATTAGTTATGATAGCAGTTACTCACTATTGAATCATAAGAATCTTATTCCCATCTCCTTTCACCAAATCCATCTAGACAAGATGAAAACTATTCATTCAGTGGGAATTCTGCCTTCCCCCTCCACACATACACACACTCTGAAACTAAATTCCCTCTTGAAAACTTATAAGCCAGTCACTTCGTGCCTTTATAGCCCCTCACATTTTAGGTAGCCAATGTCTAAGTTGCTCATCCCTGTCAGCCCTGTGTATAGAGGGGATATGTTTGATCCTTGGTGTGAAGACTCCTTCCCTCTCAGTATTTTGAGCTACTGCATCCATAAATATAGGTCAAGTTCATCAAATTGTAGTAATTTACACTTGTTTCCTTTATCAAATTTCTTTATCTTCCTCTAGGCAAGTTCTGATCATCAAGCTATTGAAGCTAGGTCAAATGGTTACTATCTGCAAGTTTGGGTGTAGTTGCGCATCTCCCCTCACTTCATATCAGCTGGATGCTTCACTCTTGGCTATAGCCTCCAGAGACTACTTTTTAGCCAGACAATAGGCCATAAAGTGACCAGTAACACCCATAAGGAATGTGCTCCTCAGAATAATAAGCCAAGGAACGGCAGGATTTGCCCAAAAACAAAATTTCAGAAGTCTGGAAGTGGGCAGGAAAGATAGCAAGTGGAAACAGGAAACCCAGGAAGTAAGTGGGAAGAGTGTTGTTTCCTTGAGGAGATTGCAGCTAATGTCATGAAACAAAATGTTATGTATAAATTGTTGAATGGAAAATGGCTTGCTCTGTACACTTTCACTCCAACCGCAATAGATGTTCTAAAATAAATTAAAATGCTACTTAGCATAAATTTAATAGAAAGATAAAATCAAAGTCCCATAATAGTAGCCAGGCACTGCCTAGTTCTTCTGGGATTAGGGTGAAGGATGCCTTTATTCATGTAGGCAATTAGACATGCATTCTAGTTCTTCCACAGATTCCTGACCCTCTTCTTCCTATGCTGCTCCAGGCAGGTAAGTTTTTGAAGTAGATTTGACAGGACTTGACCTTGGCCTAAGTGTAGAAGGTAAGGGAATAACGGATTGAGAACTACAGGGCTTGATCAACAAGATAGATGAGATGTTACTGATTGGTTATGAGGAAGAATAGGCTTGGTGGAGGATATTAAAAGCTCTGTTTTGACCATGTTAAATTGGTCATTCAGTGACTATATTAAAGGGACAGTTTTATATTTGAGTCTGAAATTCTGGGCACAGGTTATGGCTGATGGGATAGATTTGAGACTATCTCGCATAGATATATTTGAAACCAGGGAGTTGGACTTAGCAAGACATGTAGGTAATAAAAGGTCCACTCCAATATTTAGAAACTGATGAGAGGAGGAAGAAAAAACAAAGAAAATATATTATACTGGGACCATAGATATGTCCAGTGCTTTTATATGAACAAAGACTTGCATGTTGCCTCTACATTGTAAAGAGAATGTGTTTTGTGGCTGCTTCGTCTCTGAGAGCTTTGAGGTAATCTGCTGAACTGCAAAGTCGGTGGTTCGTGCTCACCGGCTACTCCTTGAAAACCCTATACATGGATGCTATGAGTCGGAACCAACTTGACGGCACTTAACAACAACAACCCTGTGTGAGAGCAGGATGCCTTTCTGGATAAGGACCCTGAGTTTCGCCAGGAGAACACCTCCCACCTAAGACATCTCACAGCATAGGGACTCAGGGCTGGTGAAGGCGAGTAAAGGATGAGGGTCAGGCCACTGACTTTTTCTCCCACCCCAGTGACTCTGTGGCAGTCTCTTCCTTTCCTTCCTTTCCACAGTCTCATCTGTCAAGCAGAGAGGGGTGGTGGCCTGATTCCATGTAATCTCTTACACACCTTGTATTGCTCTACTCTGATTTTATCTAGTTGTTTCTAGAAACACATGCACTCACGCAGCAGGTTTTGCCTCAACACTCTATTTACTGTGGGCTTTCAAAGAAGAGCCTTGTCTCCTGAGGTAGTAAGGAAACCAAAAAAAAAACAAAAAAAACCCAACAACTTGGTTCCATCAAGTCTATTCCAATTCATAACGACCCTATGTTGTTGTTGAGTCCGTTCCAGTTCACAGCAACCCTGTATAGGGTTTCTAAGGAGCTACCAGTGGGTTTGAACCACCAACCTTGCAGTTAGTAGTCCAGTGTTTTCCCTACAGTGCCACACCAAAACTCCTATGGTGCAGGGTAGAACTATCCCCATGGGGTTTCCAAGGTTATAATCTTTATAGAAGAAGAGTGCTAGGTCTTTCTTCTGTGGGGCAGCTGGTGAGTTTGAGGCACTAACCTTTTGGCTAGTGGTTGAGCACTTTAACCATTGTACCACCAAGATTTCTATATTAGAGCAGTACACACAATAAGGAGTTCTGGTAGCACAGTGGTTACGAATCGGGCTGCAAACTACAAGGTCAGCAGTTTGAAACTACCAGCTGTTCCGCAGGAGAAAGATGAGGCTTTCTGCTCCCGTAAAGATTTACAGCCTCGGAAACCCTATACAGGGTTGTTTTGAGTCGGAACCAACTCCACGGCACATAACACCACCACACACACATAAATACTAGGACTGATAATTGTCTAAAGGTTTACACTGCAGAGAGAGCCCCTTCATTATTATGATTCCAGTGTCACCCTTTAGTGGAGCTTTTGTAACTAGAAGAGGGCTCCAGAATGTTCATGAAGAAGTGGAATTAAAAGATAATAGCATTTTTCCACATACTTTTTGAAGCTTCTTCATACTGGTCAAAAACAGAGTTGGGACTTACACATGGGTCTTCTGACTGTGTAATTGTGTTGTCTTGTGTCTCTTCACAGACGTGCTTTGCACAGAAAGTACTCAATGTTGAAATGTAATAAAACATTTTGATGAACTTAGAAATAGGGTTATTTTTCATGATTGACTGATTTTCCTCAGCCCACTACTATGAAATGCCCAGCCCAGGCCCATGTGTAGAAACCAGAGTTTGAATGTGGTGGCCAGGGTGGGCACAAGGAAGAAAGGAGGAAAGTATCATTTGGGAAGCACTGAGTCTCCATTTCTGAAAATCTGGCAACAGATATTGGTGATGGTGATCAACATAATTGATTGTTGTTGTTAAGTGCCGTCGAGTCAGTTCTGACTCATAGCGACCCTGTATAGGGTGTCCAAGAAGCAGCTAGTGGGTTTGAACTAACGACTCTGTGGTTCACAGCCCAGTACTGATCCTACAGCGCCCCACCAGGAGTCTTCATTATACACATGGAAAATGTTAAACTGCAACGATTGTGTTATCTATAAGTTTGTAACAATACAAGCATGAAAAGAAGAAAGAAATGGGGTATTTTTCTAAAAAGTACGTGACAGAGACCCACAACAGTTTTCCTGGTAGAGGACACAGCTTAGTTGTATGAGCCACAGGCGGGAATATGAGTCACCACAAGGGTCCTTCAGACCACCACAGAGATCCCCAACCACGGACTGGAATCTGTCCGCGGGCTTCTGGCCGAATCTGGAGTGAGATTTCCTTGAATCCCCAGAAGGTTGGGGATTCAGTCACCATCATGTCTCTCCTCCTACTCAAAGGCTTCCTCTCCGGTAGTTTTGGCCCCGTTTACACAGTGGTTACTAATTGGGCTGCTAATCTCACAGTAAACAGTTCAAAACTACCAGCTGTTCCCCAGGAGAATGATGAGGCTTTCTACTCCCGTAAAGATTTAAAGCCTCGGAAACCCTATGCAGGGTCGCTATGAGTCGGATCCGACTCTACGGCACATAACAACAACAACAACACAGAACTTTTAGAGGCAGAGCAGGTGGAATTCCCCGTGGCTGCAGAGAAGACCCTGGGGACAGGTAGTATTCACTCACCAAATGCATAGGGAATGGGTGTGCTACGCTATTTGCATACAGTTAGGTAGGCGCTTACGTTCTCTGGGTTTCCTTTCGGGAAACAAGGATAGGAGGGTTGCAGTTCTCATTTGTACCACAGGGTGGCGCATTGGTTACGCAGCTCCGTCTGGGGATTCACCGAACTCTGCAAATCAGGGCACCTGCAAACGTGTAGGTCTTTGACTCCTGACTTGCCCTTCTTCCTAATGGATGTTCAGCTTTTCCCAATCTCAAATTTGCATCTCTGCTGTGACAGGTCGGCATGATGGTGACATTCCTGGTGCTTCTCATTTTCTCCTACGACGTCATCTTCCTGTTTGTGGGCACAGCGAGTCTGGGGCTGTTCCTCAGTAGCACCTTTCCCAGCATGCTAGCCTACACAGAGGACACTCTCCAGTACAAAGGTGAGTGTAGGGGCTGTGAGCAGAGATGTTATCCTATAGGCTGAGTGCTACTCCCTCCCTTCATTCGAGGAATATTCTAGGCAAGCACCGTCTGTCAGCTGAAATAGCCCCCTCTTCAGAGAAACGGATGCCCCACTCCTGGGATTGGTTCCCAAACGGGCCCTATTCTGACCCACATGGCTCCCCCGACCCCACTCAAAATCATATGTGTATCAACATGAACATGGACCACAGGGTCATCTGAAGCAAGTACTCTTTTTCCGGGTTCCTTTTTACCACAGTAACGTCTAATGACTTACTTACTGCTGGCATTTGGTGTATCATGTATGTGCTGGAAATGCCAAATTCAAAAGAAATATCAAGTTGTATAGGAAACATGATGGCACAGGCAAGATGCTCTGTCATTTAATTCTCAGTAGTCATACCTCCTTGCCTTGTTGTTGTTGGCAATGTTGTTCAAAGCATCCAGGGTTAAAACAGTGGCTGCACACCTGGTCTGCAGTGTGACACGGCTCCTTCAATGTCACAAACCTCTAATTCTTGCCACCAACCCCCCTCCACACTCTCTGGCCTTTCAAGTGCATGTAATAAAGATCTTTTTTATGAATTAATTAAAATTAATTATGTCTTGAACATTTAACATTACCTTTAGAAGTATCTAGAGATGCTCTGGTGGAGGTAGTTATGTATAGGGTTTCCGAGGCTGCAAATATTTACAGGAGCAGAAAACTTCATCTTTATCCCACAGAACAGCTAGTAGTTTTGAACTGCTGACCTTAAGGGTAGCAGCCAGACTCGTGACCACTATGCTAACAGAGCTCCTTAGAGATGCCCTAGAGTGTTGGAAAAGCAGCATTAAGATGAGAGTTAATGCTTAGAGAAGTGGGGGAGATGGAGTAAGTAGGGGCTCAGCCTGTCAGTTATCCACAGTAATGAGCAAGAAAGAGAACCTGAGTCCTTGAAATCTATGGCTAACCCCCAGGGAATGTCAGCACATAACAGCAGCAGCAGCCATAAAGAAAGAATCCAATATTTTCTACAATGAATGTACAGATTTTGTCTTGTTTTCAAAAGGGAAATTTTAATTATAATAGTACACAGTTGACCCTTGAACCATGCGGGAGCTGGGGTGCTGACTTTGCACGTAGTCAAAATTCCATATATAATTTACAGCTGACCTGCGAACATGGGTTTGAACTGCTCAGGCCCATTTAACTGTGGGTATCTTTCCTGTTGCTGCTATGGTACGCTCAGGGCTTGCAACTCCCCACTTCAAACACCATGGGACACTAATCATCACCTGCTCACCTGGGTACTTGGAACACCTGAGCTCCCGTCAGTACACACCCAAAACCAAATCCACTGCTATCGAGTTGATTCCAACTCATAGCAAAATAATATAGAGTTTCCGAGGCTGTAAATCTTTACGGGAGCAGGAAGCCTCATCTTTCTCTCATGGAGCTACTGGTGGGTTTGAACTGCCAACTTTGCAGTGCTTATTCCACAGTGCCATTCTTAGTGTTATTGTGTTGCTATCTGCTTAAAACACTTTGGGATGCTAATCTGCGATTACTCACATGAATACTCGAAACACTTAAGCTCACCTCAGTAGCAACAGGGAAAACAAAAACAGCCCATGTAGAAGTGGGCCCACACCATTCAAGGGTCAACTGTATTCTCACTGAAAAGGCCTTCAACAATACAAGCAACTAGAGCCATAAGTCAAAATAGCCAAAAATCATACGGTTAGCAGTTTGGTTTGTTCTTCTTAGATCCTTTTTGGGCATAAAAATGTGTACAATAAAACCTGACTTTTCTAAGGTGGAAAAGTCAAATAAAATACCAGATACCTTCAAAATATTTGTGGAAAATTTGAATGAAGAGATAATGGAATTTTTTCATGAACTTTTTGAAGCCCCCTCATGTTTCCCACTGAAACAAGTGATCGAAAAGAGGTAACGCCGTACCTTGTACAAGGCAGCAAATTTGTGAGACATGGAAAAACTAGGCAGTCCCAATGAGCTTCAGCTCTCACTGGTTGTATATTTAAATCTAGATGAGATGTAGATATGACATCTAAATACTATACACTATTGAATGTTGGTCATTTAGGAGAAAAAAAGCATTCATTCATGTGGTAGAAAGTGAGTTTCCTTTCAGTTCCTCTGAGTCGGAGTACTTATTACCCATAATTTGAAGTTGTTGTTAAGTGCCTTCAAGTTGGTTCCAGCTCAGAGACCCTGTATAGAGTTTCCAATGAACAGCTGGTGAGTTTGAATCACTGACTTTGAGATCCAGTGCTTATCCTACAGTGCCACACTGGGACTCCCATGATCTGAAGAATACCCCCAAATCAGGGCCTGGCCTATCAAAATTTGGTTGGATTATGACTCTAAAGAAGTATCGGCCTTGATTGATGAGAAACAAGGGAAGAAGATGCCACCTGCAGCCATCATGGTCCAGCCTTCCTTCTGCACTAAGCACTTGGTGCTGAGTACCCTGGGACATGCTCAAGGAAGCCCCATCTCTCTGCGACCTATCCTAAGTATAGAACAGATACCAGCATGTTCACTCTGCTCACAAGGGTGCAACGACGCTCAGAATCCTTCATCGCACCTCAGTCTAAAAGCCTCAAGGTTGGAAACGGAATAACATGGTCTCATGCATATATAACAGTACGAGGGGGCTTCAAAAAGTTCATTCATGGGAAAATGGAATGAAAAGATCATGGAATTTTCCCACAAGTCTCTTGAAGCCCCCTCATGTATCCCACAAACATTTATATGATCAACACATGTTAAATACAGCAACACCTGTGAGAGCCAACCAGGCTGCCTAGTTTTTTTTGCAAGTTTTCTGCTTTAGACAGGGTACCCGTCTTACTACTTTCCTCTCACTCTTTGTTAATGTGAATAATTTGAGTGTTTTCTTCTCTAACAGCTTCGGCCTTACAGAGGTGCCAACTTTTGCAGGTGTTACTATATTAGCTACAATAACAAGAAGTGAGGTGATTCATTCTGTCTCTCTGTCATCCTTCAAATCTGTCCTCTTTTCACTGGTCACTGTCCCTGTCTTTCTGGTCATTTACCTGCCTGGACTATTTTAATAACACTCTGCCTTCAGCCTTACCTCCACGTGACCTAGTGCTTCGTTCTCCTTGGCTTAGCAGCGTGCCTGACTCGCAGGTGCTCAGCATTATGTTAACTTTTATTATTTGTCTGTGTCTCCTCGGTGTTTAGCAAAGTCCCTGGTGTGCAAACGACCCTCAAAGTATTTTTGAGTAAATAAATGGAGTAGACAAGTGAGGGCTACTGGAATTCAGAGATGGGAGTAGGCAGTGTTGAATCTAGAGGTAGCTTCATGGGGGAGATGGGATGTGAGCTGGCCCAGTTTCTGGAAGGACAGAGGAAAAGGAAGGCATTCCTTGGTGGGTGAGGTGCAGTATGGGTAGTGAACAGTAGGGGCCCAGAAGACTGAGAGAGCTAGAAGGAACTGAAACCCAGAGTAGAAGAGGCTGATGATTGTTTTATCAACACACAGAGTGTCTATTCCATGTTGGCCGCTGTGCTAACTAGCTCTGGGACACACCATAAGCCTAAATTCCAGGTCCCATCTTTCTCTCATGGCCTTTAGTTTAGGGACCAGCAAAGGAGAATACTGAAAGAAATCTCAAAAAACAAGGTAAAAACAAAAACAGTTTGCCATCAAGTTGACACAAGTGTCAGAGTAAAACTGTGTTCCGTAAGGTTTCCATAAGGTTTTCATGGCTGAGTTTTTAGGAGTAGACAGCCAGACCTTTCTCCCAAGCACCTCTGGGTAGACTCCAAACTGCAACATTTCTATTAGCAGCCAAGCACATTTTCCCTGTTGGCACTGCTCAGAGACTCCTAAACTAAGACCTAAGAGGTAGACAGGAGTTTGCCAGACAGAGAGTAGGAGGAGGAATGTTCAGGAGGGACTGAATGCCTGTACCAACACTGGCGGTAGGTGAATATGCAGGTCTAGGTGGCAGCTCATTGTGACTCGGTGATTGTGAGCAGGCAGTGTGAACTATCAACAGGGGCGAAAGCTGAATGTAAAGGGCCCTCAGACCACATGAAATCATGTGACTTTATCCAAAGGCAGCGTTACAGGATGTAAACACAGCGCCAGCCGGGTTTGGAGCGAGCAGGGAGTGCCAGCATTATGCGAATAAGACGTTTATGTATTGTGTGTCACTGACTGTAGCTCCCTGTGAAGGAGGACGATGCCCATTAGACAGAGAAGGAAACCACGGCCTAAAAATGTTAGAGAACTTGCATAAGGGACTGGAACCCATGTCTGACTCATGCTTAGCCTCTGAGTCCATGTGGTCAGGCTCACCAGAGGCTTGTGGCCCATCATCAGTGCAATCTCACAGCAGCTGGGACACTGTCTACAGCAGAGTGCTCTCCTGCCCAGGCCCTTCTCTTGACAGAATTGGGGCATATTTGTGGAAATATAGGTGTTAGTCAGATTGGGAAGGGCCTGAATGCTTGGCTTGGCAACTTGGAATTTTCCCTGAAGTAATTGTGAGGAGCTGAAGATTTCAGAACAAGGCAGAGCCATGACAGTGTGACCTAAGCATCCCTGATACAAAGTTAAGGGCTACAGGCCTAGAAATCATGGTCATCCAAAGTAGTCCTCCAAGGTTTCCCAGAAACAGCCTGGATATGACTACTAACTCTGTCCCTTTACTTGCTTCTACCAAACTAAACCCTTGTCTTTCTACTAGGCTGTGCCACTACAGTGCTGGTGACAGGAGCAGGAATCGGCGAGATGGTGCTCCAGCTGCTGGTTGGTTCGGTATGTGGGAAACTCTCAGTGGGTAGCAATTGGGAGCACATTTTAGAGCAGGTGGGAGGGTTTCCCAGAGAGCAAGCGGTGGGACCCACAGTGCCTGTGACCATTTCAGAGGCAGCCTAGCTGCCATACGTGGGACCTGGAAAAACGAGGGGATGTGTTGTCAAGTCCAAAGCAAACACGAGCCTGTCTGGGAGTGGGGCCAGAGGGGCTTGTGGGCACACTGTTAGGCTCTTAGAGCCCGAGAAGGATTTCAGCTGCAGTTGGGATTCTCTTCCCACCCTTCTCAGCCCACCACTCCCTACCCTACCTGTCAGAGTCTTTGGCCACCCTGCTTTCCTACCCAACTCCTGCCTGGGTCAAGGTGTAGCTCTCCCCAGTTCTTGTCAAACATACCCATGTTTCATCAGCTCACAACAGTGGAGTTTTTGTGGCCCATCAGTGCCATCTCACAGCAGCTAGGCCACTGCATTTAATTTTTAAAAGCTGATATTAATCAGTTTCCTGGTGAACAGATGAAATATGGCTATGTTTGAAATAGAGATGGAATCCCTGGGTGATGCAAATGGTAATGCACTCTGAAAGGATAGTGGATCAAAGCCACCAAAAGGTACCTTGGAAGAAAGGCCAGGCAATCCATTTCTGAAAAATCAGCCACCAAGAACCCTATGGAGCGTAATTCTACTCTGACCCACAGGGGTTGTCACAGTCAGCTCAGCAGCAGCTGGTTTAGACTGTAGCTGCTAGTCTTTTTACAGCAGAAGACACTAAAACTCAGATACGCTAAACATTGCTAGGAACTGACAAAGGTGATGTTCCAACCTAGATCTTGCCGTCTCCAAAACTCCCTAACCACCACCTGAATCTCCTTTCTTCCTCTCTTGCCCCACCAAGGGTGCAAAACTACATCTTATGATGTCCTCCCTATCGAAATGGTGTGATATCTGAGATTTGCTTCAACATAACCAAGTGCAGGGAGGAAGTGAAGGGACTCAGATGAAATTGTTGCCAATTGTTAAAGAGGGGTGACAGATCTGTGGGAATTCTATATACTACTTTGGCATATGATTGAAATTTTCCGTAATAAAAAAGCTAAAGTGAGTGTGTGTGTTTATCCTTTGCAAAGGTGTGGTTAGCCCTCTAAGACTGAACCACAAAGGGAACATGTGAGCAGGCATGTCAGCTTGCTGACGACCACATTGGTCTATTGGTGAATGGAAGAGGGGGAAAGGCAGCAATGAAGAAATGGGCTGAGTTCAACACACGATCCATTGACTCCCGTTGTCCTGGAGATGAGACAGAGAAGAGGAAGGGCTGGTTGGTCCAAAGTGTGGTGAGACCTGGGGACACCTGAGCCCATGGACAAGGACTTAGGCATAGAAGGCTAGAGCTGAGAGTAAAGCATCCAGCTGATATGAAGTGAGGGGAGATGCACAAGAACACCCAAACTTGCAGATAGTACCCATTTTACCTAGCCTTGATGGCTTGATAATCAGAACTCAATTAAAGGAAGATAAGAGAAAAAAGCAATTTTTGATAAAGGAAACATGGGTAAATTGCTACAATTTTGACTTATAGATCAAAATTTGACCTATACTCATGGAGATAGTAACTCTAAATACCAACAGAGAGTGAAGGAGTCTTCACATCAAGTATCCATTGCTATCCCCTCTGTACACAGGATAGATAGGGACAGGCAATTTAGACATTGGCTACCTAAAATGAGGGGGCAATAAAGGCACGAAGTGACTAGCTTTCAAGGTTTCAAGAGGGGAGTTTAGTGTAAGAGTGTGTGGGGGAAGGTAAGAGTCCCCACTGAATAGTTTTCATCTTGTCCAGATAGGTCTGGTGAAGAGATGGGGATAAGATCCTTATGATTCAATAGTAATAGTTATCATGACTAATTATGACTGTTACAATTGTAAAGACAAAAGTTTTCTAACAAAAATGGGAGAGTAGGAAATATCACTGTCCAGAAACAAAGGACCCTAGGACCATTAAGGGAGATGAACACAAGTGGAATGTGGGACCTTATCCAGAGAAGCAGTGACACCAGAGATGGAGGCAGACATGGGGATATGGAGAAAGGGAGCAGCTGAAGACCCTATAGATTCATGGGAAGAGAGGGACTGAGTGCTGGTGGCCAGGAGGCAGACTTGCAGAATGTACCCTGTCGTGGTGTAAATTATTATATATGCCTGAGTGTTTAAAACAAAAAAAGAACTAAAGTGAATAGAGGGAAATACTGTTATCTGATGGTACATGGAGGGGAGTATAATCATTGTGATGAAACAAGGTATATGATTTGTTGAATGTAAAACTAATGATCTTCCCTGTAAACTTTCACTCAATTCACAATAAAAACTTAAAAACCAAATCAACCCCACTTCCATCAAGTTGATTCTAACTAACCCTCTAGGCCAGAGCAGAACAGCTCCTTAGGATTTCTGAGACTGCATATTTTTACAGGGGCAGACAGCCCAATGAGCAGCTGGTGGGTTTGAACCACTGACCTTGTGATTACCAGACCTACGATTAACACACATTGCCATGAGGGCTCCTTTTGTGAACATAGACAAACACCTACTATGGAGTCCTGGTGTGGCTCTGTGGGTTAATGCGCTGGACTGCAAAGTCAGTTTAAACTGTAAGATTGGTAGTTCAAGCTCACCAGCTGCTCCTCAGAAACCCTATACAGGGTCGCTATGAGTCGGAACCTACTCGACAGCACTTCACAACAATATGGCTGGTATTTCAATGATGATATGGAGTGTTTCAGAAGACTCTAAAACACTGAACTGGAAAGGACTGTAAGGGGGTCACTAGGTTCAAGCCTGGCCTTAAAGCAGGATTTCAGCCTCCTCCAGAAACAAATCCTTGAAACAAAGCCAAGACTTCCCTCCTACTCACATTTCTCTCTCACTGGTGTGATAGGCCTTAACTTGACTGGAAAGCCTGCCAAGGGCCCCAATAGGCAACTTCCTCCAATACATCTTCCGTGTGAGGTTTTAACGCCCTGTCTCTCTGTGTTTTCCCCTTTGGCAGATAATCCAGGATCAGGGCAGCTATAGTTTCCTGGTCTGTGGCGTGATCTTTGGTTGCTTGGCTTTTGCCTTCTACATCTTGCTCCTATTTTTCCACAGGATGCACCCTGGACTCTCATCAGGTAAGGGAAGAATCCGTTGCTACACAAGAGGAGGAAAACAGGCAGCAGGAGGTGGGAAATGCTATGGATCTTAGCACACCACAAATAGTGTTTTGTTCCAAGTAAAATGCAAGGAAATGTTTATTTTTCTACAGCTTCCTTTCCCCCTCTTCCTGCTTTGCCATGCAATTGCTTGTGCTGGGCTTCTCAGGGCAGGTGGGAGTGGAGCTGGCTGACTCCGTTTCTCCACTGGGAGAGAGGCATGGTTGGAAAGTGGGCTCCCTGGACCCACCACGCCATGGAACCTTGGGCCAAGACTGTCCAGTTGCTTAGGGCACTAAGAGAAATGGCTGGAACTCTGCCCAGTGGCCTAACTGGCCATCTCTTTGCAGTTCAGGATTTTGATTCTAGTTCAAATCTCTTTTTCAAAATGAAATCCTTCAGGCCAAGTGACAGAGAAAAGCTCCTTTGGGGCATAGACACCTAAGCATAGTCTGTCTCCTGGGGATCCCAGGTAGGGGGAGTCCCAAAGCTATTTTCACAGTTCTGAGCCTCGCCTGCCCTTCTGCCCTGAGCTGTGTCAGCAGTATATCTGGCCAGCTCTTCAGAGAACATGCCCTAACAGAGGTCCTCTCTATAAAAGGCAAAACAATCACAAGAAGATGGAAGGAGCTGGCATCCACAGGTCTGTCTTTAAGGGAGTGGACATACTAACCCTCGAACACTCAGTTTCAAGGTCCAGAAGAAAATCAGGGTAGAAAAACAAAAACAGTCGTAATGCCAGCTTCTCGCCTGAGATGGCAGAGACTGGTTGCTGTCTAGCCTGGCACATGGAGCCTTCATTTAGGAAGTATGCTGTTGTTAAGTGCCGTAAAGTCAGTTCCAACTCATAGAGACCCTGTGTAGGGTTTCTAAAGAGGGGCTGGTGTGCTTGAACCACTGATCTTGCAGTTCAAACCGAACTTGCAGTCCAGCGCATTAAACTGCAGCGCCACACCTGAATTCCAGTGCATATTTGCTGAACAGCAAATGAGGAGCACTTAATGAAGTACTCCTGGTGACACACCTGTTAAGTGCTTGGCTGCAACTCGAAGGTTGCCAGTTCAAACTCACCCAGCAGGAAAAAGGCCTGGTAATCTGCTTCTATAAATATCACAGCCAAGAAAACCCTATGGGACCAGTTTTCTCTTTCACATGGGGTCACCCAACAATATTTAAATGAGGTCCTTATTCATGAGAAGCAAAAAAGAGTTACATATTCCTTATACGTAAGTCTCAACCAACTGCCTCCACCAACATTTCATCCAAACTAGCAGGTCTGGCTTTTCACTTGGCTCCCTAACGAGCAGCGAAATCACAAACAAAAACCTGGGTAGGATTTTCGGCAACCCTTCAGTGCTGCTGAAACCTGCCATGGGTTTCTTTTCTCTCTTGCAGTTCTGACCCAAGACAAACCATTTGGGATGGAGAATTCAGAGTGTTACCAGAGGGAGGTAAAACTGGAGGAAGGAGGCACGTGAAGATTCCCAGCCTTTGAACACCAACACGGACCCAACCGTTTAAGAAACTGTGGGTGGAGGTGGAAGTAATCTCTCAGACAACCTTGTTCAAATCCTCTCCACTAATACCTGATTGAGTAGAAGAAATTAAATTGAAGCCTGGGATCTGGGTCTTCGCCAGGCAAATCATTAGGAGTTTCAATGGCGATTCAAGTTGCCTTCCTCTATCCCTGAGCCAGACACGTGGCGAGAGCTTCCAGGGTACTAGCCCACATAGGAAGGAAGAAGACAGCCATATACTTCATGCCAATTGTCACCTCACACATGGACCATACCCCGGGTTTGTGATGACTCCTAGTTTAAGTTTGGGAAAATAGGTTAAAATTGTACAGTTCAACAATCGTAATAGCTACGTGTAGGGATATTTTTAATGAATCACAATAAACCCCAAGTTGCTCCTGGGCATGCTCAAAGGATTTATGTGCTTTTTACTTACAGTCTGAAGTTCTTAGATTCCCAATGTTGATTCCTGTTCTTCTGTATTCTAAAATATCAAACATTTGAAACTTGGTATCTTTGGGACACAAATTTAGCGGTATGCTGGAGCTACCTCCTACCAGCTCCTAAGAGCTGACTATTGAATTTTCATTTTGAGGACTGGTTGTTAAACACAGCCAGTATTTAAAATTATATGAACTTAGAATTAGATAAATGATATTAACAAGAGAGGTGATTCATCCTCAAAGCTCTTCATGTTCTAATTATTTTCTTACATTTCATTTTTATGCTCTTGAGCTTATTTACCTCTATGGTATCTGTACAGTGGAGATGCCGTATGATAGAGCTATGGCACATTCCTTTCCAACTCAGTGATATGTCACTAGCTAGAAATCAGTCATGGTGGGTGTATTTAAACCACAAATATTGATGGTGGGTGTATTTAAACCACAAATATTGGCAAAAACTACAAATCATGGCTTTACTCCCTCCTCCTGGAGCCCTACTGAAATAGTGCGTAAGTGCTTGGCTGCTAGGCAAAATGTTGGCAGCTCAAACCCACCAGCCACCAGGTAGAAGAAAGATGTGTCAGTTACATAAAGATTTCAGCCTTGGAGACCCAAGGGGGCAGTTCTGCTCTGTCCCACTGGTTCCCTATGAGTCGGAATTCACTCCATGTGAACTGGGTTTTGGAGAGCTGCTTGTTAAAAAACATTTACCAGCATACCACTGCAGATCAGTGATGTTAATTGGTCCAGATGTTGCCAGGGAGAATATATTACTGGGGTTGATTAGCTTACAAAAGGTGTAGAAACAACACTTAAATTTCCAAAAAAACATCTTGTTTCAAATTTTTATCTTTGATAGAGGAAAAGACTTCTGTATACTACGACACAGTCTTTAACAAGAAGCTGGGACTAGTGGCCAATTCCAGCAGCATAGCTCTTACCTGTAGCACCACCTGTAGCAATGTAAGGGAAGGATGCAAATGTACCAGGTCAAAAAGGGGTTAAGAGTATTGAGCCCTCTGGAAGTAATGGAATGTTTATGTCGGTTTACCTGCACTTTATGTATATATAAATGTACATACATAAAAATGAAATTGGCTCACAGTTCTCCAGAATCTGTCTCAGTGCTGTGGTTCACATGCCTGACACTAAAAGGTTTTTCCTGGCCCTCGAATAATTAACAGCTCTAGTTGCACAACAGGTAAGCACTCTGCTAACCAAAAGGTTGGCATTTCTAACCCACCCAGCTGCTCTGCAGGAGAAAAATCTAGCAATATGCTCCTGTAAGAATCTAAGCTCTCAGCACACCAGATTCACTCACAGAAGACACGGACAAGTCTTGGACATAGCGCCAATTTAGTCTTCATCCCTAAGTTTTACTGAGCACCTGATATTTGAGACACTAAGGACAGAAGTCCTTTCCTCAGAGACTACACTGTAGTTGAGAATACGCAGACAACAGATCATTAAACATATATAACAGCAAAGGATACAATGTAACCATCATAAAGAAAAAGAAAGCAGAGACAGGACACAGTCATAGGAAATGTCAAGAGATGTGATGATGACCATTCTGAGAAGGTACCATTTGTGCAAAACCCTAACTAGTTTGGGGGACTAAGCCATCTAAGTACCGGGAGATCTTCTCAGGCAGCGGACACAAAGGCATGGGTTTTAGCTGGAATATGCTTTTAGTATCTGAACAACAAACGCTAGTGGCAAAATAGTTAAGCACTCGGCTATTAATTGAAAGGTTAGCAGTTTGCCACTTCACAGGACAAAGACCTGACAATCTGCTCCTGGAGAGATTACAGCCCAGAAAACCCCCGAGGGCGTTTTTTCTCTGGCACAGTGGGGTTACTATGAGCTGAAATCATCTCAGCAGCACTTAATATTCTGAGGAAGAGCAAGCAGGCCGGTGTGGCTTCAGTGCAGTGAAGAGGGAACAGTGGCAGGGGTCAGATCTTGCATATCATGAAATGAGTTAGGGCTCTTTTCTGAAAGATGTTAAAATTGTTGAGGAGGTAAGTGACCTGCTGTATGTGTTTTAAAGTGTCACTCACCAGTGTTCAAGAACTGCCATGTGCCACTCCACAAAACAATTTGTCACTCTTATGCTCTGATTTTCACCAAGAGATAGGAAACAGAGTTCTCTGATTATGATTCTGCCAACTCTTGACCCCATTTTATCTTCAAGTCCAAATTATTTTCTGCTTTGAATCTGCTGTTGAAACCAAGTGCTTTCAGCAAAGGAAGGTAGATATTTTGAATGAAATGACAAGTAATTTTTTGAGATCCTACTATAATTAGTGGGACACATACATCTCAGGGATGTGTGCCCGTGGTGCCATTGTTGGTGAGATGAGACCCCTTTCTAGATTCACTCAGTTGTACAGACCCTCACCAGATGACAACACACATAAAAACTGGAATAGCAGCTTCCCACAAAATCCCAGAGGCAGAAAATATAGATGTGCATTGTATGTCCATGTGTCACAAAAGGGCCAAGTATATCAATCCTTCTGAAAGGCCTAGTCACAGTTGAGTCCTGGTGTGGTGCCACAGGCTAACAACCTCAAGGTTGGTTTGAACCACAAGGCTGACAGTTCAAACTCAGAGCAGCTGCTCCTCCAAAACCCTATACAGGGTCACTGAGTTGGAACCAACTCAATAGCATTGACAACATATGAAGTCTCCAGTTTCTTATCTCAAAAACTACATAAAGTACATAGATAAAGCCAAAGATCCTTTTTATAAGGGCTGGAACACAATAATTTGAATAAAAGTATCTCTTTAAAATGTAAATTAATTTTTTTAAATTACAGTAAAAAGATTTCATGTGATCATTTCTCTAGCCAACCAGTTGTCTTCTTTTAATTTCCTTCTATGTTGACAATCACTTTATAATCTTCCTTCTTCACCATGTACCCTAACCTGGCTCGATCTATTTTAAAGTCCTTACTCGTCAAACAGCTGAAGGCCAGATTTTAATGATGAAGGCTGGGGAGACAGAACT